CGTTCAAACAATTCGGGTGAGATTCTTGAGTCTTGTGATCATAGGGTTAACATATTGTTGGTGATTGTGTTGGTTCTATGGTTCAATGTTTTTTTTTTTTTTTTTATCAAACTCTAAAGATTGATTCTTGGTTTTCTTAGGTTTGAATCAAATTTGTGTGGATTTCGTAGCTACTATTGCTACGTGGAATCACATCAGTTGGTACAGAGCTTTGGCTCCAAAAAATTAAGGTTATATCCTCATTCTTTTTGCTAGAGTATTTTTTTCTCTTCTTTTCATTCATCGCTTTCTTCGCCTTTTGAATATTTAATCCATAAAAATACCAAAAAAATTCAAAATTTGTTTGTTTATTAATTTAGCACCCAAATCAATTTCTTTTCTTTTGCTGGTATCGTAGTTGAATTTTCGAGCAAAAAAATCATAATTTAAAAAAATTCAAAAATTGCCAACGACATATAATTTCATTTTTTTGAGTTAAATAAAATGAAGGACGTGTCCAATCAAAATTCCAGAACCACTTTCTTGGATTAATATTAGTTCCCATTCAAAGTGATAAATTCCTTTTCTTTCCTTCCTTAATTTTTCTATGTTACAATTTCTCACTCATATCCTATTTTGAATTCTTCAAGAATAAAACTTGATTGAGACCAAATTAATTCTTTGTAGCACTTGGACGAAAGTATTGAGTGGAAAAGGCAAAAGTGGTAAGATTTAGAAGAAAAGACCAAATTTGAGTGATATACACATGTGAGACAAATCTGACTTTAGTTTTAGGATGGATATTTGATGGAAACAATTCTACTTCAAGCGAAAATAATAATCAAGTCAAATGTCGGATGAGGTGATACGACGGGCCGAGAGGTTGTTTGAAGATGTGAGAGACTGGTTGGATAGGCAAGAGGCGTGGATGGAGAGACAATACCATTGCTTGCTAAGTTACATAGGAAACAACCTAGAGGAGTTCCTAATGCAAGGAGGCAAGGTACACAGGAGCCTAGGATAGAGATTCATGGTAATATGAAGCAGTTAGCGACATTGATGGCAATAGTGAATGTCGAGTTAGGAAGAATGGGGGATAGAGGAGTTAGGCATGAAAGAAAGGATAGAGATCTTGTTTGAGATGCAGTTAATAGAAGTATGGGTAATATCAAAATGACAATTCCTTTATTCAAAGAAATGAGTGATCCGGAGGCGTACTCAAAGTAGAGAAGAAGATTGAGTTGATATTTGATTGCCACAACTACTAGAAGGATAAGAAGATAAAGATTACAGTACTTGAGTTTACCATTACTTGGTGGGATCAAGTAGTGACATCTAAGAAGAGGAATCGTGAGTCTTATTAATACATGGAAAGAATTGAAGACTATCATGAGGAAGAAGCTCGTGCCTAATCACTACTATAGGAGACTCTATCAAAAATTGCAAGGCCTCTACTAAAGTTCTAAGAGTATGGAGGATTATCATAAAGAGATGGAGATTGCTATGATTAGAGTGAATGTTGAAGAGGATAGGGAGCCCACAATGGCCCTATTTTTGAATGTTTTGAATAGCGAAATATCTAATATAGTAGAATTACAACATTATGTAGAGTTGGAGGACATACTTCATGTAGCTATGAAGGTGAAGAGAAAACTGAAGAAAAAGGGGATAGCTAGATATCAATTGGGTTCTAATCCTTCTTGCAAATCAAAGTGGGATAACAAAGGAGATATAGCTGCTTCGAAGAGCATAACTAAACTACCGTATGGAAAAAGAGGAATTTACTAGTAAGATCATATCCAAGGTAGAATCCAAACCATCTAGGAGTCAAGACACGAAATGCTTTAGGTTCTTGTGATCGAGACACATTACTTCTCAATGGAGAAGTTGTGAGTGATAGTGATGATGACTATGACAACATGCTGGAATTAGAAGAATTCAATAATAGTGATACGGTGAAGTATCTCGTAGGCAAGCTATTGGTTACAAGGTAAGCTATTAGTGCTCAAACTAAAGGGGATAACTTGAAGTAACAAAGAGAGAACATACTCTATACGAGTGCCATATCAACAACAAAGTCTATAGCATGATTATTGATGGGCGTAGTTGTACTAATGTGGCAAACGCTACACTTGTTGAGAAGTTGAGGTTAACTATGTTAAAACATCATAAGCCTTACAAAATATAATGGTTGAATGAATGTGGAGAGGTTAAGATGAATAGGAGAGTATTGATAAGTTTTTTAATTGGGAGATATCATGATGAAGTGATATGTGGTATAGTTCCTATGCATGTCATGCACATTTTGTTGGAAAGATTATGGCAATATGATAGAAATATAATGCATGATGGGTACAAAAATTAGTACAACTTTACCAACAATGGAAAATCTATTACTCTTATGCCATTAACACCGGCACAAGTGTATGAAGATCAAATCAAATTGAAAAGTGTAAAACAAAAAAGATTAAGATAAATAGAGAGCAAGAGAGAAGATTGTGAGAAAAAAGAGTATAGCCACAAGAGAGAAAAGAAAATGAGTCTTCTGAGAGGAGAGAAAAGTCGCGAGTGAAATTTTTTGCAAAAGAGATTGAGTTGAAGAGAGCAATAGTTAAGAAGCAAACTATGATCTTGTTGGCTTATAAGGAGTCACTCCTTAATTTTGAGAAATCTAACATAACCCTCCTTGGTTTGGCTACTTCTTTGTTGTAGGAATTTGAAGACATGTTTCCGGAAGACATGCCTAGTGGGTTACCATGAATTTGAGGGATTGAACATCTAGTACCTCGAGAGAGTGAAAGAACCAAAGAGAAATAGAAACAGCAAGCTCAAATTTCTGGACAACCAAGTCACTTCAAAGTTTTGATGTTTGTATCCATTATTTCTTGAGGGGTTTATAATTTCTTGAACAAATGAACTTGCTTTTGAATAGGTTAGAGTGTTTTTAATGATTTCATGATGCCAAAAATGGGGGTAATTAGTTATAAGAATTTGAAAGAAAGCAATCTGTGCAGTGATGTGGAATTGCTAGAGTTAAGTGGTTTAAACTTTGATTTTGGATAATACTTAAGATATAACTTGTATATATGTAAATGATTGTTTTTACATGATAGTTATAAGGATATAAATGGCCTTCTAATAGCTGAAATCCAATTGGTAACATGCTAATAAAATAGAAACCGAAAACTGTCATAATGGAAAACTGTCTGATTTTAGTGTTGTGGAAATGGAATATTTTGAGGCTGAGAACACTTTACTTGTCACGTCTTTAGAGCATGGTTACCTTCATATACATGTTATAGAAATTTGGTAAAAATTTCGGAGTCATTGGATATAGATAAGGGGTGAAAAGGGATTGGAAAAATAATTGGACGGTAAGGGAAATCTGAAAACAGATTCTATCCAATTTTATGTTTAATATGATTTCAGCCTTTACATGTACATTAATCATCTCTTGGGCCTAGAAAATAGATTCTGAGGGTACTAGGTTGTTAACAACAATTGGATGATGTTGACGTTCATAATTTGACTCGAGAAATAGCGAGATTTATGGGATAAGTTTGTAATGACATTGGTAACTTGAAATGATGATTCAGTCTAAATTATTTTGGTGAGAATGGATGTATTTCGGGATTTGGTGTAATAAGGTTATTAAATTGAGGATTCTCTTTAATATTAAATGGTAATACAAGTGATTTTCCGACTTCGAGTCAAAAAGGACATTGATCTAATCTCCATAGGAGCTTGCACACACAAAGGTGAAAGGTAAGTGAAAATCCATTTGCAACTACAATGCAAGAACCTAGTATATGTGACATAGTAATGTTGAAATATCTATATAACTTTGATAAGAGGCTTATAGCACATCATATGGTGGTTACGATCATTGAGTATGAGGTTGCGTAACCTATTGACATTGATTTTCATTAAATACGTCATTTATGAGCATTTTCATATGCATGCACAGCATGTAACATGGTTGAAAATCCCGCATGCAAAACATGATTTCAAAGTGAGTTTCATTATAAATGTTTTATTGACCACTACTAGGGCACCGAGGCATGTGAGTCATGCTTATGTGATATGTTTGGCATTGCGGGTGTTACTTCCTGGGTGATTGCAAAGATAGACAGGGGATGGGCCTTTGGTGATCACGGGAGGGCGGACCACTCGACTGTGCCCTTGTGATATTATGATTATTGGCGTTGTCGAGTAGGAGACTTCTTGGGTGATCATAGGGATAGTTAGGGGATGGGCCTCTAGTGGTCATGAGAGGATGGTCCACTCGTCGGTGTCGATTTCATATTGGCCATTTGATTATTGATATTGATATTATGCAGAACTCTATTCGGTGCATAGTAGGTGCGTCAAGGGCCCAATGAAATGAAAGATTTCAAGTGAAATGATTTCTAGTCGACTTTGACGAATATTGAAATATGATACTTTTTATCGTGATATTTAAAGTAAATGGCATGGTGTCATATGTCGTTATTACTCATGTTCAGGACATGCATGATTTTGCTTACTAAGCATTAGCTTATGTAGTTCTTGCATTGTAGGTGAACATGGAACTACATAGAGAGCATGGCTAGCTGTGGAGCTCCTACAGGATTTTAGAGTTCGATGTACATGGATGACGACCTGTAGGGTTTTTGTAGGCTGCTATCTGTAGGGTTATATTTTGGAATCCTATATAGTGTACTTTTAAAATGGTCTGTAGACATGTTTATAAGCTCAGAATATATATGTTGGATTATGGCGATACGATTTTGGGACAAACTCAAAAAAAAATATACGTAAAATTCTATATCTAGGTTGTGTATAGATATCAATGTTAATTTGCGGTCGTGACAGCAACCCAAATATATACAGATAACCATACTAATTCCTATGTCGAAATGATATTGGTAACTCGATCTAGACATAAAATTTAGATATACTTTTTTTTTATAAAATGAAACGAGCATTTGCACAATTATGTCCCTATATGTTAACTTCAAATCACCTGTGATGATCATATATTATATCAAAATCAATGATCATATAACCATAATCCAACACATATGTTCTAAGGTTATAAACACATCTATAGGCCATTTCAAAAGTTATACAAGACAGGACCCCCAAAATACGACACAATAGAGTGTAAGCTCAAAACAATAGCCCACAAAATAACCCTACAGGTCATCATCCATGTACATTGATCTTTGGAATCCCGTAAGAGCTCCACAGCTAGCCGTGCCCTCTACATAGTTCCATGCTCACCTACAATGCAAGAACTACATAAGTCAATACTTAGTAAGCAAGAATCATGCATGTCATGAGTATGAGTAACAAGGATATGTGATACCATGTTATTTACTTTAAACATCATGCTAAAGATGCATCATATTCCAATATTCATCAAAGTCGACTCGAAATTATTTCATTTGAAATCTTTCATTTCATTGGACCCTTGAACCACCAACTATGCACCGGATAGAGCTCTGCATAATATCAATATCAATAATCAAGTGGCCAATATGAAATCGACACCAGCGAGTGGACCATCTTCTCGTGACCGCTAGAGGCCCATCCCCTAACTACCCCTATGATCACCCAAGAAGTCTCTCATCCGATAGCGCCAATAATCATAACAAGGGCATAGTCGAGTGGTCCGCCCTCCCGTGATCACCAAAGGCCCATCCCCTGTCTACCTTTGCAATCACCCAGGAAGTATCACCCGCGATGCCAAACATATCACATAAGCATGCCTCACATGCCTCGGTGCCCTAGTAGTGATCAATAAAACATTTATAAAGAAAACTTGCTTTGAAATCATGTTTCGCATGCAAAGTTTTCAACCATGATCATATGTTGTGCATGCCAACGAAAATGCTCATGAATGACATGCTTAATGGAAGTTGATGTCAATGTATTTTGCAACCTCATACTCAATGATCATAATCATCATATAGGGTACAACGAGCTTTCTTATCAAAGTATGAAAATATCCTAACATCACTATACCACAAATGCTAGGTTCTTGCATTGTAGTTGCAAATGGATTTTTACTTACCTTTTTGCCCTTGTGTGTGCACAAGCTCCTACGGAGATTATATCACTTTCCTTTTTCACTCAACATTGGAAAATTACCTGTATTATCATTTAATATTAAAGACAATCCTCCATTTAATAGCCTTAACACACACAAAATCCCAAAATACTTCCATTCACGTCAAAATAATTTAAACGAATTCATTATTCAAGTTACTAACGGCATTACAATCTCGTCCCATAAGTCTCATTTTTCCTCGAGTCCAATTACCAACATCAACGTCATCCAATTGTTGTCAACAACCTAATACCCTTAGAATCTATTTTCTAGGTCCAAGAGATAATTAATTTACATGTAAAGGTTGAAATCATATTAAACACATAAATGGACAGAACCTGTTTTTCAGGTTTCATCACCGTCCAACTACTTTTCCAATCCGTTTTCACCCCCTTATCCATATCCAATGATTCCCAAATTTTTACCACGTTTCTATAACATTATGTGAAGGCAATAATGCTCTAAATTCGTGACAAATCAAGTGTTCTCAGCATCAAAATAGTCCATTTCCACGACATCAAAATCAGGCAGTTTTCATTGTGACAGCTTACGGTTTCCATTTTATTAGCATGTCATCAAACAGATTCCAGGCTATTAGAAGACCATTTATATCCTTCTAAATCCCATATAACAACATTCATTTACATAGATACAAGTTATATCTTCAGTAATATCCAAAATCAAAGTTTAAACCATCCAAATTCATCAATCAACACATCTCTATTCCTGTTGGTTTCTTTCAGGTTCTTGTACTCAATTACCCCTCTCTTTTGCCATCATAAAATCATAAGCAACCCTTATACTTAGCCTCAAGTAAGTTTATAGTTTAAACATATTATAAAACAAGTAAAAGAACTAAAGAAAAAACTTCAAAACCGTGAGCTAAACTCACCTATCCAGAAATTCAATTTCAGCTCCTTGTTTCTGCTTCTCTCTTTTCCTTTTTGCTTTCTCTTTCAATCGGTGGTCAATTGGGGATAATTTGTAAGACTAAACATGTTGTTAGGAAGTGTATATAAAGTCTTCAAGATGCTGGAGTGGACTATATATATATATATATATATATATATATATATATATATATATATATATATTAAATAAAAAGAGGTAGGAGACGTGCTATATATCTTAAGGATGAAGGGATTGAGTGTTAAAATGACAACTATCCCAAGCACAAGGTGCCAAGCATGAGGTGGTCACTAGTAAAAAAAAAAATCTGATTTTATATCTATCTTTGCAGGTATAAATCAAATACCCTAGGCTTATGTTAATGTGTTTACAATCCATTTCACTTGCCCTAAGATCCCAAAATATTTTATAGAGCTAATTCCTCAATCGTTCATTTAATTATTTACCCGATTGACACCCCATTCTCGACCGATTTCATCAAATTGCACCTTGATATTTATAATGTCATATGAGACATATATTATCGCATCATGATCATGTTCCTTTATGTATCATGGTCCAAATATGTCAATTACCTATCTAGGGTTTAAGGTGGTCTCGATCAACCGAATAGAAAGCTTGAACTTTTGTCGATACCGATTTCCGACCTTTTCGATATTCCATTTCTTATCAAGCCAATCTCCAACATTTAGTTAACCTAATTTTCTATCATAGCTCAATACAAAATTCAACACCTAGGTCTAGGAGTCGAAGACTAAAATCTTAAAATATCCATAATCGAATGCACCATTTTAAGATAAAGTAATAAAGAAATCTAATGCAAGTAACATTATGAATAGCATGAAATGCATGAATCATATTGGCCAAATATATAACAGGAAGTTTGGGGTATTACATCGCTGTCATTCCAAATACATCAACTTACCAAAGTAATCCCGAGGAGACGAAAGAACTTTAAAGTCAAGTGAAAGAATTGATGAGCAAGGGGTATGTGAGGAAGAGTATGAGCCCATGTGCCGTGTTAGTAGCACTTGTGCCCAAGAAAGATGGAATTTGGAGGATGTGTGTATATTGTTGGGCCATCAACAATATAACAGTAAAGTATCGTCATCATATCTTGGGTTAGATTATATGTTAAATGAATTATATGGTTCATGCATATTTAGTAAAATTGATGTTAAAAGTAGTTATTACCAAATTAGGATGAGGGAAGGAGATGAACGAAAAATTGCTTTTGAAACTAAATATGGGTTGTATGAGTGGTTGGTCTTGCCATTTGGACTTACTAATATACCTAGTATGTTTATGCAGTTAATGAATCATGTTTTGCATGCATTCGTAGGTAAATTCATAGTAATTTACTTCGATGACATCTTGATATATAGAGTAAGTACTCAATTAAGCATACAGGGCATTTGAGATGTGTGCTTATGGTCTTAAGACAAGAAAACTTTACGCTAATGATAAAAATTGTACATTTTGCATGGAAAAAGTTATTTTTCTTAGATATATATGTTGTTATGCAAAATGGATAGAAGTGGATGAGGAGAAAATAAGGCTATCAATGAATGGCCAACAATTAAAAAAATAATTGAGGTAAGAAGCTTTCATGATTTGGCAAGCTTCTGTAAGTGTTTTGTTAAAAACTTTAATACAAATGCCACAACACTCATGAAATTGTTAAGAAGGGTGTAGGATTTAAATGGAGCATTGAACAAGAACATGCATTTAATACTATTAAAGATAGATTGTGTAAGGCACCGGTTTTATCACTTTCTAACTTTGATAAAACTTTTGAGATTGAATGTGATGTTTCAAGGATAGGTATTGGGGCCATTTTAATACAGGAAAGAAGGTCAACATCTTACTTTAGTGTAAAGCTAAATGAAGCAGCTTTCAATTATCCTACACAAGACAAGAGTTTGTATGCACTTATTCGGGTGTTGGAAACTTAGTAGCATTTACGGCCAAAGGAATTCGTGATTCACATCGACCATAAGTCCTTAAAGCTTTTGAGGGGTCAAGGCAAGTGAAATAAGAGGCATGCAAGGTGGATGGAGTTCATCGAGACATTTTTATATGTCATTTGGTATAAACAATGTGAAGAAAATGTGGTAGCAGACGCTTTGTCAAAAAGGTATGTACTTCTAACTTCTTTAGGTGCTAAATTACTAAAATTTGAATATGTTAAGAACATGTATGCCACTGATCTTATCTTTCTTATACATATGAATCATGTGATAAAGATGCTATATATAGATTCTTCAAGCATGATAGATATTTATTTTGGGAAAACATGTTGTGCGTTCCTAAATGTTCAATGAGAAAATTAGTATGTGAAGCACATAATGGAGGTTTAATAGGTCATTTTAGGATCAAGAAGACCTTAGAGATGCTAGGTGAATATTTTTATTGGCCTAACATGAAAATTGATGTTAATCAAATTTACAGTAGATGCATCACTTGTAAATGGGCTAAGTCTAAGGTTTACCTCAAGCATTGTATACACCCTTACCTGTTCTTAGGGCACCTTGGATTGATTTGTCTACAAACTTTGTATTAGGTTTAACTAGTCTAAAAAAGGAAGAGGTTCTATATTTGTGGTGGTAGATAAATTTAGTAAGATGGCATATATCATTCCATGTCATAAAACTGATGATACCACCAATATTACGAATCTATTCTTTAAAGAAGTTGTAACGCCCCGAAACCTATGCTCTGGAAGTTACTTAAATAATTGTTTTAACAATTATAAAAGTTGATTAGCACATTATAATATATAAAAATATTTGAAGAAACTTTGCGGTATAAAATAAAACTATTTTATTGTCTCATAATAAGTCAAAAAATTCCATCCATTAATGAAAAATAAATCATCAATTTTGAAAATAAAATTTCTAATTGCAATTTAATTTTAAACTAAATGCTAAATATTAAAAGTAAATAAAATTATTGATCCAAGGACACGGACAGTCTCAACCTCCAACTTTGATCCGTCAAGCATCTTTAAAAATAATTTAGAATATTGAATGAGCTTATGAATATATTCAATATAGATTTCATGCTAGTATTTTCACAATTTAATATAAAAAGTAAATAAAATATGCACATAACATAACTTGCTTAATGGGATAGAAGCCTGGCCATCTTATTCTCACTTAGGTCATACACAGTCTCAATCTCTACTTAGGGTATTTAGTCCTATAGCTGGTTTCTGTGTAGATCTACATAATAATACTCTTAAGATATTTTTCACAATATCTTTCTTTACTTTGGAACATATAACAGCGCATAAAACACTTAACTTAAAACATTAAAAAGTGAAAACACAAAATTCATACCTATTCGTTAAATTTCTTGTGTACTTGAGCTATTTAAAATTAAAAATTCTTGCGAACGAATCTCGAACGCGTTGAAAAAGATTTCTTTTCTTTCTTCTCTCTCTCTGCCCTTTTTTCTCTTTCTCTCTCCTCTTTTCTTTCTCTCTCTTTCTTTTCTATGTTTCTTTCTTTCTTTTTTCTCTTTATGCCTTTCAAGATTTGTGTGAATTAAAGTACACAATAAGAGGGTATTTATAGGTATGATAATGATAATGATCTACTTAGAATCTTTATAGAATGTAAATTGGACTCTTAACAAACAACCTTATCAAATAAAATTCTTATTACATGAGGATAATATTTCAGTATAAATATGTTAAAATCCTAAATTTATCTAAACACCTTTTCATGAAATAATTCAATATATATCCAAATATCAAATTCTAATTTCATTAAAACTCTTATTTTCAAATTAAAAGTATGATAAAACTCTAAACTTGTCTAAATACTTTCATAGCAGATAATTCAATAATAATTTAATAGATATCACAAATCTAATTTTATGTGATACTCATATATATCCAATTATTAGAAATATTAACACAAGGTCCTAGAAAATGGTAAAGTTGCTAAGTGACCCTAAAATTTCAAAACGCGTGTTATGCCTCATAATATATTGTATAAATTTGGGGTATTACATCCTCCCCTCCTTAAAAAATTTCATCCTCAAAATTTATCCTGGTTATCGAAAAGTTGTGGGCATTTAGCTTTAATAGCTACCTCATATTCCCAAGTGGACTCTTCTACCTCGTGATTCCGCCATTGAACCTTTGCCAATGGAATTTCTCTATTACGAAGTGTTCGAATCTTCCTATCCAAGAGGACTATTAGAGTTTCCTCGTAAGTTAGATCTGAATGTCAAACGATTTAGGATTAATCACGCGGCCTAGATTTGGTTCGTATTTTCAAAGCATAGGGACATGAAAGACATTGTGTACTGTTGAAAGTTCGTGAGGCAATTCCAACTCGTAAGCCACAGTTCTTATAACACCCCGAAAATTCGTTATAGTCATTAATATTAGAAGTTAGGACCTATTAGTGAGAAGTTAAATATCGAAGGACTAAATTATTTTGTTTACATAATTTAGGGATCAAATCGTGGACTGTTCATAGTTAAGGACATGCTTAATTAGAAAATCATTTTGTTTTTGGAATAATGAAGTAGATTATATGATTACCATGTATAATTAAAATTTGTTTAGGTATTTACCATAATTGCATGCATGTATATATGTTAAGTGTGTCAAATTATAGTAAGAATAATGATAATTACCATAAATATGGAACAAATAAGGAAATTTCCATTTTCACACAAGGAAAGATTCCACCCTCCAATTCATGGCATTATTTTATTAATTTCCACACACAATCTCACGGCAAACACCTTTCTCTCACACACAAGTCACTTTATTTGTCTTACACACAATAATTCAATAATTGTAAATACCACAGATATGGAGCAAATAAAGGAAAGATTCCATTTTTAATTCATAACAATATTTTATTATTTCCATACACATAGATTCACGTCTCTCACTTTCTCTCTCACACAAGTCTTTGTCCTACACACAAGATTTCATAAGTGGATTTTTGGGCAGTCAAGTATTTCACACTTATTTATCAAATTCCATTACGAGGTAAGTGATGTTGCATGTGGTTTATGTGAATTTGTATTTTGTAATTTAAATTTTGAAATTTGTTTTATGGGCCAAA